GGGGAGTGTCATGGCTTCTACGTGTCCGTTCCACCAAGTAAGCGCTTGGTCAACAAAATTGCATGCTGCAAACTTCACCTTCATCTCCTCAGGACAATCGCATATCTCTAATACCGATTCCACCTTCTCGATCCATCGTTTCAGAGTGATCACCCCTCCAGTGCCGTTGAAGGTTCATGGTTTGGAGTTTGTTAAGTCCTTGTAGGTACATGTTTTGGTGGGTCCTTGATTCGTTCCGTTGTTCAAACTCTCGGCCCCTTGCCCGTTGACTCCTCCATTGTTTCCTTGATGAATTTGTGCCATTGCTGCGGTGACCGCAGCAGATACCGCTGCCTGGAATGCGGCTGAGTCAACTTCGGGTGGGGTTGGTCCCGGGTTTCCGCGAGTAGGTCGGGGAGGAATCTTTCTGTCATGAAACGGAAAGATGTTGAGTATATGCGGGTTCCGTGAGATTGTGATCCTACTGACTAGGTGCATGGTACGAACTTGAGTACTTCTACTATTTAGCATCCAATCATAGATTTGCAACATATAGCAATTTGTAATGTCATAATAAAACACATAAAAGTTTTACTAATATTATCCGCATTTGATACATGAAAATTTTGCTCGTGAGAGCATACATGAGTGATACTAGTTTGACAGCATAACAGCTCTATGAGTAGTGTAGTCACTTAAACATAGAGTTGAAGTACATAGTATAGATCCTAATGACCTAGTAAGGTAAGTCTATCCCTAACACTTCGTGGTACGTCTTAATATAGCGGTGGGATCATATGCCGAAGTGTTGAGCCAACAGCTGAGCCATCTCAGTCATGTCTCCAATGACCTCATCCCTCTCATGCTCAGCTTGCACTGCACATGCTTCCATGGCAAACAGTTGTTGCCACAGGGCGGCAATCTCTGCTTCGGGAGGGCGATTCTCCCTTGCGGGGTTCACTGGTGGGGCGGGGTGGTCCTGCTGCACCTCGCTTACAGGAGATGCGGCACGATCTTTGCTTGAGTCTTGTTCTTCCTCCATGTCATCATCGATCTCCTCGAACTCGTAGTTGGTGTCCGTGTACTCATCAGGTCCGACGTCGTGTGCTCCCTCTTGATTCCCTTCTGGTTCATCTTCAAGCATCCCGTGAGCCACTAGGACTTGATGAAACTGAACACCCTACTGCTCTCCTTCCATGAAGACTGGGAGAAGGTATACGAATAAGCTATCGTTATCCTATGACTCTACCAGGTCTAAAGATAGACCATCTGTCAGTCCATTACGATCCTAACCCATTGGGCCCACCAAGGCCCAATAATAATTGAGTTTTCCCCAAGGCCCAACCTCATCCTACAAGACAAGCCCAACATGAGGCCCAAGACATCAATTTAATTCTCTGATCACAGGCTCCACTAAGCAGGCCCAAGGATTCCGGCCCAACACTTAAAGCCCAAAAGATCACCTAGCCCAAAAGCCCACAGAGGGGTTACGCGGGGGCGTACCTCTCTTGGTACGCTCAGCGTACTCAATCATGCACAAATTTGATCGGGGACCTCAGCCCAGTACGTGGTGCGTACTAGGATTACGCTGGGCGTACTCTCAGTTTTGCTTAAATAAATTTCTGGGTCTTAACCCATTAAGACCTTGACTTATCTCTTGGATATGGACTTCCTAACATCTCTTACTCCATAAAGTTATCGACTTTAAGCCTTTGCATGGCTGATGAGGTCACAACACATAAAAACTCTTACTTTCTTAACCCAAAATGCTCATAACTCATGCATGGGTAGATTCACACGATCAAGATCTCATTTTTATGGTTCTTCATCACTAGATACACTTAAAAGGGCAGGTTATTAAGCTTTGGAGTGCATCAACTCATAAAGTCTCAAGCTTGGGACCAAAAACCCTAAAATGCACAAAACAAAAAGAGAGGGAAAGCTTGGAGCTTTATACCTTCAAATGGTGCTCTAGCCCCAAGGAAACTCAGATCCACAACTTGCTCTTCGACTTCACTCCCTTTCATGCTCCTTCTTAACTCTCAAAAGTCCACAAGAACACAAACAAGCTCATCATGGCCACCACAAACTTCAAGAATGGATATTAGGGTTTGAGAGGGTTTAATAACTAAGGAAGGTGGCCAGAAATGAGACCATCTCTTTCTTTTTATAGGGACACTTCACTTAATTAGGGTTTTCTTCTGTGCCTAGTACGCCTAGCGTACCCCCTGGTACACCCAGCGTACTAGGTGGCTCTTGCTTAAGAAACACGTGCATCTGTACGCTAAGCGTACGCATACGTACGCCCAACGTACCTCGCTGCCAACTTCTTGACATTAAGGACTTAACTTGTCAACCCTCCAAACTTTCATAGCTTCAAAGATAAAACTTTGAATCCACAATCCTCATACATATCGAAAGGTAATGAGATCCCATACGTTTCAAGCAATTCACCTCAACCCGAAACCTTCTTGTGCCCGACTCGTGGCACACCAACACTAATCACGGACAATCTGAAACAGGATATTACAGCTAGAAGCAACAAGTTCTATTACAAAGTGATAATCCAAATCATTGTGCTTGGCATGTTTATGTGAGACTGGATTTTGAGTCGTAAACAAAGCACTCTTATTGTCATAAAGAAATGTTGGACAATCAGGTGGCATAGGTTGAAGTTCAAGCAAAATGTGAGTGACCCATACAATTTTAGCAGCAATATTTTCCATGGCTCGATACTCCAACTCACAGCTAGAACGAGAGACGATGGGTTGCTTTTTTTCTCTCCAAGAGACCAAGTTTCACCTAGAAATATAGAATATCCATAAGTAGAGTGATATGTTTTGAGGCATCGTGCCTAATCAACATCAGAATAACCGAAAATAGCATTGTTGTGTGGACATCGAAATGTAAAACCAAAAGTAATTGTATCTTTAACATACCATAAGATACACTTACATATTGAAAATGAAAAATTGTTGGAGCATGCAGATATTGACTCGTCTGATTAACAACATAGGAAATGTCAGGTTTGGTGATTGTTAGATATTAAAGAGCACCAACAAGGGACCTATACAAAGTAGAATCAGAAAAAAGAACCCCATCAGGATTAAATGATTCATGAGGAGAAAGTAGAGTTGGAACTGGCTTGCAATCGAGTAAATCAGCTTTAGTGAGGACATCTTTAGCACACTTAGCCTGACTTAAGAACAAACCATCATCAATGTAGCAAACTTCCAATCCAAGAAAGTAACCGAGATCTCCAAGCTCTTTAATAGCAAACTCATGATTTAATTTGGTGGTGAATTTTTGTAACGTCCGGGTTTCAGGACTAAGCATTTTTAGACAATGTAATAGTCTAGGTCAACTCTTGTAACTCTTTTGAAGTAATAAAGATGAAATATTTGAGTATTATGTGAATTATGTGTATTTATGTGCTTATTATTTAATTATAAATGTGTAATTAATAAAGAATAAAAATAAGCGTCAAAATTAAAGTATGAGATAAGCTCGATATCTTTATATAAAGTTGTAGTGGTCAAAAGAAGGATTCCGGGGATATAAAGAACGCCGAAATCCGAGTTATAATGAAGAAATTATGAGAATTTAACGGACCAATCATGTTCCGGCTTGTTAATAATATAATTTTTAAAATAGAATCAAATTAGCCGACGGATACTAAATGAAAGTTGTAGATTACGTTCCCACCTTCGCGTGGATATAAAGAACATCGAAAACGGAGCTCGTATGCAAAAGTTATGATTTTTAGAAGTCGAGAATGCAATTTGTGAAATCTGTTGCTCGATCGATGACGTGGCTCAATCCTAATTGTCGCTTGCTGATCACAGCTCGCTTCGGATGAAGGACACGTCGCCTCACCCTACACCCCACGTACGAGATCCGGAACGCCCCGCGTACCCTCGGTTCTTATCCGATCCGAAGTGGCTAACAGCTGGATGCGAGCTGGAGGCTTATCCGAACTACGCCCAGCGTAGTCCTGTCCGACGCCCAGCGTAATCCGACAGGCTTCGCCTATAAATACCTGCGAGGGTTACCGAGCAAATTACACCAAAAACCTTTCTCTCTCTAAAATCTTTCTCTCTCTAAGGTTCCAAACCACCCCTAAACCCTAGGAAAATCCCCTAGCACCCTAAGGAAGCCCCGAGGCTCCCAGAGTCCCGAGAAAAATGGTCTTTCGGTTTCGAAACGTTGCTCCAAATAAAGTTCCGGTTTTCTTTAAAATCCGATGTAAGTGAGTTATGCTTACGCAATTTTTAATATAGCTTTCAAATAATTATAGGAATAATATTAGGTCCTTAAAATAATTATTTGGGCTATTATTATGAGTTATATTGAGTGTTATTAACGCTTATATAACAATAATAATAGTCAGACTAATTAATTTGTCGCGGTTATCGTTAGACTAAACCATAGTGGTATTGGTACTAGGTTTTATTGAAGGAAAATTGTTTTGATAGTATCGAAGCACTGTCCGAGTGCTGAGTCACCACCTTTCAAGTGAGTGCATAGTTACTTTCAGCTTACACATAAATATGAAGTATTTTATATAAATTACGTGTTGTGTGTGCATATTATCTGTATATTATGCATAATTCAATATCTAAGATATATAACATTACTATGCATAATTCAATATCGTAACAAATAAAAAATAAAAAAGTATAATATACGAATAAATAAATATTGCTATTTTGATATTTCTTTATTTAACTAAATAATTGAAAAGATTGGAAATGAGATATGCTAGGGTGGATGATGGATTTGCACAAAAGTAACTTGTTCCAGTTATAAGACCAGCGCATATTGTCGCCAATTTCAACCCTTTTTCCTTGGCTATTTTCCATGACATGTGCTCTGCTTCCCTAAAGCATACCATAACTACAATATTTCCTATAAATAATTTTCTTGATTTTTCATAAATAAAATAATTTTGCATGCAATTACTAATCAAATATCTGATTTTGAAATGTCAATATTAACCTTTTTGCGGTTGCAAAAGGATTATCACTCCATGTGTTATGATCCACTACATGAGAAAAAGGCTGCTATCGGAAATGTCTCTCCAAATGCATGTCAATAGAGAAGATGTAAGCACATAGTTCCTAACTGATGACGTGGCAGCACAGGCTTCCGCTATATTTTCTGCTGCTCTTGCTTCTACTTCAGCCATTATTTTCTATCAATTTCATAATCATTTATGAGCTCGATCGTTTAAAGTAGTGTATGTTTACAATAAATTTTTATTTATAATGAATCAACTGGATTGTTTAAAAGATTCTAGACCATATAAAAAATTAAAAACTATACTATTTAATCTATTGTACATTTAGAAAAAGTTCTAGAAGGAAAGAGAAAATAGAATAATTCACTAAAAGCCAAATCTAACATAATTTTCAATAATAAAATACAAGCCATTCAGATCTTAGAACAACACATGCTGGCTGCATTGATTTTTCGGTGGAAATTTGATTATTGTCATTGACCTGCGACGATAGAGACTTTTGTCTCGACGTGATCGGAAAACGATATGGATGAAAGAGACTCAGTGACTCACTGAGTAGCCGGAGAGTCCACTCGGATCAATGAAAGCCGGCGAATGAAATACAGCAGAACATCCATCGAACGCTTCCATTAAGCTCTGAAGTTCGTTGAACTTCGCAACAACAACTCCGATCTGATTGTTGATAGTAATGTTCGATCTTCCTCCTGCCTCCTCTGTAATTTCTATCTCCCTCAATCGCTCAATATTGTCTGTAATTCCAAATACTTCCGGTTAATTCATGATTATACTAGTATAGAACATATATGCACAAAAATCTCATCTAATAAATCACAATACCAGTAACAGCGCCATTTTTACCTTCGTTATCGACGATGATCCGAACGGAATAGCCTCTGAGTAAGAGTTTTTTCACAATAGCGATGCCAAGGAAACAGACGCCGCTTGTGACGCATACAAGCTTCTGATCTGCTGTGCATTCGTTTCTGTTAGCTGCTGGCACTTGCCGGCGGTTGTACTCCTCTTCGGTTCTAACCTTGAGGACAACGCCGGAGCAGGATAGCAGCATCCGCCGGAACTCTAGATCTTACCTCTCCGACTCTCGTCTGTCCGTACGAGTAACGACACCCATTGAAGCTGCTAGAAGAAGTATTGAGAACAGAAAGCAGAAATATAAACATCATGTCTGCTTTCCCTGTACGCCAGTTAGAATTTAATAACTTTCTATTTTCATGTCCATTATTATTATTATTATTATTATTTTATATATTATTAAAATGTATTACAAAACGGTCCATGTGGTTCACTCCGCACATCATTATAATTTGACTATTTCATACGGATCATTTTTATGTTATTTTTCCGTTGGGATCTTCATGACTTCATCCCTAATGACATGTATAGAATGTAGAATAATAGGATAAACGGAACTTGATTACAAAGGTGCTACCATACCTAGAACCGAAATTCTCGCCCAAACTAGAACATATATTAATTATTCAAAATCCATGATAAACTCTCTAATTTGATCTCTTAGATTTCTCTATGTATTTCGGTTAATGATAAGGAAGCATTCTTTTATAGAAAAAACATGCTAAACCCAAAAACCTTCCATATATGAAACAAACCTGTAAAAGAGCCTTTCAACTATGATTACCAGAGTGCTCGTGCGATTAGCGATAATAAGATGGTAGATGGTCAGACTATTCCACCCGAAGGACGTGTTTGGTGGGTGGTTGTATGATGATGATAAACTGATAATTATCGTTGATCTATAACAAACTGGTAATTATCAATAGTCCACCTTGATTTTGATCCTTCAACAAGATGAGTTCTCCCAAGTTTGAGAATCTTCAACAAATTTGAGTTTCGCTCCAAATGACAAAATTCTTTCGAACAAGATAGAAAAACAAATACGAATACAAGATTAACATGGCCTTCCCACGTAAATACATTGGTATAAAATGTATCGAAAAGTAAAATGAATGATTAGAAATCCAAAATCTTCCATGTTTCCTCTCCTCAATGTGTCATATCAAATACTAACAAGCTTGTTGGCACATAAGGTTAAAGCAATACCTCACATAGTAACAAGGAAGTGCCTTTGTGAACATAGGTGTTGAATTGTCATTGGCATGAATCTTTTTCAATATGGGTATTCTTTCCTCGTACAAAGTTACAATAAAGGATTCTTCGATTTGATTGTGTGTTTGTGAACTAAATGTCAATTCTTTTAGCAAGATGAATGGCTCTTTGATTATCAGGATTTACCAAAAGATGTTTCGGTGTAAACCTATACCAAATAAAAGTTGCTTAAGGTATAAAGCTTCCTTAGCAACTTCGAAGGTCGAAATCAATTCACTCTCGACAATAGTCTATATTCTTGCTCTCGAACTAGTAGTTGTACCTGTAAAGGTTGTGAAAAACGTTCAACATTGACTAATTGGTAAACTGTGGTTAAATGATTAATCAGTTAGGAGATGATTAATTGGGACCTAAATTGTTAATTAGTTGAATTTCAAAAAATTAAATTTGACTAATATTATAAAAAAAATAGGCTAGTTTTATTAACATAACACTAATCAATCCTCAAATAGTTTCTATTGAAATGGAACTTCTTCATTGTGTTAAAATTTTATTGTTTGCTACTTATTTATTCATTGTGTAGGCAGAGATTAATTGATTTGTGTCTTCTAGTCGGTCGACGAGCATCTAAGAATTAATCGGAACCTAGCCGGAACTTTTACAACATTGATTGCAAATTATATATTACTATGAGGCCAAAAAGAGAGCCAATAAACACATGAAATAAATAATGTAATCGTAGGTAATAAATTTATTATTTAGTAATCAAAAATAATAAATAGATAAATATGTTTTTGTTATTTATTAAATAAAATAAATAAATAAAAGAGTTTATTTATTAAACAAATAAAATGGTTTATTTATTAAAGTCAAATAGCCAATAAATAGGTTTGAGCTTACTAACTTATATCTTGTATTGTTTTTGAAAACGACTCATTCCTTAGTATTTTGCAAAGTTGTAAAAAAACGTTTGAGGTTAGCTAGTTGATGGAGTGGGATTACAAGATTAATCGGAGACTTAATCAGAGACCATAAATTACTAATTATTTAAATTTTAAAAAATTAAATATGATTAATATCATAACAAAGTTCGTAAATATCACTAATATCATAAAAAATAGATTAATATTATTAATACAACACTAATCATTCCCCAAATAATTTATATTGGGATAAAACTTCGAAGTTTTAAAATTGTATCGCTTTTTTATTGTCTCGCTCATTGTGTAGGCAAGGATACTAATTGTTAAACGTCTTCTAGTCGATCGGGTAGCGTATAAGAACTAATCGGAGATTAATCAAGAACCAGTCGGGATTTTTACAATATTAGTTTTAGTATTTAAAAATGCAGATAATGGTTTATGGAAGACACAACAGCAAAAATATGTCGAAAATTGACACTTTTGTTCGAAATTTTTTGAATAGGCACTGGTCCAAAATAGGAATTTTACTGCTGTTTTGGTCCAAAGTTTTTTGAAAATATTATAAATGATAGATTTTCCCTTATTTCTTTTTCTTTTTCTCTTTTTCATTTTTGTATTTATAAAAATGAGTGAACCACTTGGGTTGTGGTGACTTGGTAAGACATGTGGAAGATATGGTGGATAACCTATTGACCCATGTTCAAATCCTGACACCACTCAGCCCTTGTGGCCATGGAGGTTCGCCTGCAGTGACTCCAGGGCATGAAGCAAAGCTTTATGTTTGCAGCGGGGGATTAATCGGTGCGCGAAAGCTGGCCTGAAAACCCTCGTTAGGGAAGTTCCCTGTCCAAAAAAATAAAAAAATGAGTGTCAATCTAGAGAATTAAGGATTGGGGTAACAACGTGGATGACAACATGATTGTCCAATCCACCTCCAAACAGGAGATTGTTAGTGTAGCGTCTGATTACAAATCCGCAATGTTAAGTGAATCAATGCTCATCAGGCTAGGCACAATCAACTGCTATTTAACTGAGCACTGTTATCTAATAGCAGAGAACATGTTCTCAGTTAGCAGAGTTCTATGGAATGATAGTAACAATACAATTCTAGGAGTAGAATGTTGGGGGAATCCAAAGAGACATGTTATTTGCAACTTTTGTCGGTTGGCCTTGCCCGATGTGTGTGACTTCCATGTCTTTCTGGAGACGACGTCTCTTATCACTACAAGGATATTAAACTAAGGCGACGACAAATGTCGTCGCTACAGGCACCGTATGCCGATGATAAGTTGTCACCATAGCTTTTGAAACTTTTGACCAATTTCCTTTGACCACTACATCTGTGCCGACGACAAGTCGTCGCCATAGGTCTGGCGGGAACGACGAAAATGTTGGCGGTAAGTTGAAAATCTATACCGACGACGTGTCGTCGATATAGGTAAAAAAAAAGTATTTTCCATTTATTTTTATTCCAAGTGCCAAAAACAGTGAACGACGTAGTTTTGGAATACCCTATGACGTCGACAAGTCGTCGGCACAAGGTTTTTAATATATATATATATATATATATATATATATATATATATATATATATATATATTTATTTATTTATTTATTTATTTATTTCAGGAATAAGTGAGACGTCGTCGTTTATGTCGACCCTATACCGACGACATGTCGTCGGCATCGGGGTATACCCTAAAACAGATACGCAACTTTCTTTCATTTGCACACAACGACTTCTTTCTGCATTCTTACCTCCCAAGCAACGAAATCGGCTACCCAACGACAATATCCGACGATTAACCCAATCCAAGGTTGTTTCTACCCCTAATTTGTTTTTTATTTTGTTTTGGTATTGATTTTTACCCCTAATTTGGGGTTTTTTGGTGTGTAGGAACCGGTGGTAAAGCTCCACCGACGTAGTGACTGCCTCACCCTTCCACCGTCTAGTGTTGCCGCCTGTGGCCACCACCAGCCACCACCGGAGTATTACTTGCTTCTTTGACTAGCCAAAAAACGGAACATCACATCACAAGAACAAAAGGTTTTTTTTTCCTAATTTTTATTGAAATTGAAATTGAATTGTATTGAAATTGTTTGTTGTTTGTATATATATGTGATTGTGTTGTATATATATGTGATTGTTGTTTGTTGTATATATATGTGTTGTTGTTTGTTGTTTTTTTTTAATTGTATTGTTTGTTTTGTATATATATGTGATTCTGTTGTTGTTTGTTTAGGCTTATACTTTAAACAAACTAATTGTATGAAATTGATATTGTTTAGGTTGGTATATGAAATTATATGAAATTAATATTGTTTATGTTGGCATATAAAATTGTATGAAATTGATATCGTTTAGGTTGGTATATGAAATTATATGAAATTGATGTTTTTTAGATTAGTATATGAAATTGAAATTGTTTAGGTTGGTATGAAATTTTATGTGATCTTTGTTTAGGTTGGTATGAAATTTTGTATGATTGTGATCTTTGTTTAGATTAGTATAAAAGTTTATGTATAAAATGTAAAATATGTATGAATTGTGTTTAAAATTGTTATTAACATTTGTACAAATATATTTATTGTTTTTTCACTTATTATAGGAACAAATGGGAATCAAGGCGCATCATATTGAGGGTTTGAGACAAATGCGCTACAAAGAAGGTTCGGGTTGGTGTACAAGTCGAGCAGAAGAAGACTGTGTAAGTGATAAACGAAATGAATATGTTTTTTAAATATATTATTATTAATTATAGTTTCTTGTTTAAGGAATATTATTATTTTTTGAATGTTTAAGTTTAATTGTTTGTTTTAATTAACGTATGTTAATTGTTTTCTTTATTTTAGGAGAAAATTCAAAATGAATATGAGAAAATGCAAAACGAGGTTGGAGAAGGAGGAGAAGTAAACGAGTAAGAATGTTTAGAACGAGCCATTGGGACGAGACGTGGACATGCTCGCGGGGTGGGTAGGAGACCAACCACCAACTTCGGTTTAATTCCAAATGAACGGCCTTCCACTTCCAAATCGTCTCAATCTCAACCCCAATCTCAATCCCAATTCGATGCCCAACAAATGCAAGAATATTTTCAACAATATAATGCATCATTGGCGGCTTGTATTCCGAACTTCCAACCACCACCATTTCCTAACTTTCTATTCAACTATAACACACAAGCAAGTAGCTCTCAACAATTTGCCGAA